ACTTGGTTCTATGGTAGGTCTTAAAGGGTTAAAATTTTAGAAAAAAGTCAAGTGAAAGATCCTTGCAGTCAGGGAAAAATAAGAAGTGGCAGTACATTCCCAATAGGAAACAGCTGCATGATCTTTTCCAAACAGAACAAAGCCGGCAAACCCGGAGGAAAGCCGAAGGAAATGTGAAACTGTGTTTAGACTACCTGCTGAGCTGACTTTAAATACAGTTTAAATGAATGCAAGCTGAGTGTTTATCTGTACGTGTACTTTCCAGCAAAACTCAGTTGGAACAAGTTGCACGTCCAGATTTGCATGCTGACGTGTATAGTTTGCTCTCCCTGCTTGTATACTTTGTCTAATACTCTAACCTTTCATCCCTCATCTCTGAAACAAATCCAGTAGTAATTTCCAAAACACAGAGATGCAAACCCCTGCTTATACAAAAGTCTTAACATATTACATTTATGTGTCTGAAATATTTATCTTCATGTTCCTGTTCATCCTCCAGACAACAGAGGAGCATGAGAAAGAGACAGGACTTAAATCCAAAGAGGCCAGAAAGTACATCTTCAGCTGTCTGGATGACATAGCCCACGTGAGTCTTTATAAACCAAATCACTTGGATCGGTTTCAAACCACACCAGACACAAATAAAACACCTTACAATACAATACAAGTCTTACCTTCACAAAATATATATTTAAACCTAAGTTTGTGGCTGTGACTTGCTCTGTCAATTAGGTGAACTTGGTGCTGAGTCCTGATAACGCTGACATGCAAGCAGAGAAGGCAGACAGGCGGGAGTTTGTGTCTCTGCTTAAGAGCATGCTGTTGATCGATGCCGAGGACAGGACTGTTCCCACCAGTGTCCTCAGTCACCCCTTCCTCACTATGACTCATCTTCTGGACTACCCTCACAGCAACCAGTAAGGCTCCGACAGCTCACAAGATGTGTTGATTTTCACATTCCTGTGTGCTTCCTTTCTCCTGTCTAACTTAGAGCACACTGGTAAAAATACAGTATGTACTCGTGAACCACAAACATACAGCTTCCCTTGTCACCCTTACCAGTGTGCAGTCATCTTTCCGCATCATGGACATGTGCCACACTCGGTCCAGCAATGCAGTTTTTGACGCTCTCAACCAGAACACCATTCATTTCTCCAGGCCACCTCTAGCTCCCACTGCCTCCTCTGGCCTCCTGGGCTACAGCAACATACCAATCCACACTCAGGTGAGATTGTGCTAGGAAT